AACTCATGTGAAAGTGGCCTTAAGCTTCTAAGTGCAGTGCTTTAACCCGCTGCACCACCAGGGAGGGCCCTATGAACACTTTTTTAAAAATGTCCATAGTTTTTTAGTTGCTTTAGAAAATTTTGTCTGCTAATTCCAGCATCTGGATTGTCTCAAGGTTGGGCTTTAATCTCTTACCTATTCTCTTAAGGGTTGTCTTGTTATCCTGTTACTGGTATATGGTTAGTGTTTTGGATTGTATCTTGGACATTGTGATGATAGGTTATAGACTCTCTGGGTTCTATTACTCTTTTCAAGAGTGTTGATTTTCTTTTTTCTTAAGTAGGTAATAAACTTGGTACTCATTCTTTAAACTTTGTGGTAGGTAGCACATGAAATTTCAGTTATTTTAGTCCTAACAAGGCTTCTTGAAGACTGTTCCATGAATGTATAGTGTGAGTCAGCCAGAGATTTGCGCAGACTTTGGATGTAGAGTTTTGAGCTCTGCTCTGTCAATTCTATTTTCCAGGATACTTTCCCTCAATTTTAAGCTAATTTACCCTAACCCTGCCTTTCCTTCTTAAACCAGTGAAGGCTACACATTCTGAGTTTGACACCCCACATGGTGCCACCTGGGGCCTACCATCCATTATGAGATTTGAAAACATAACATACTTTTCCCTTAGATTAGAATGTTCTTGACTGATCCTTAAATAATTGACTAAATAAGCGATCTAGGGAAATAATGATTGAGAGGGAGAGAGGTAGAGAGAATGATCCTGACTCTTCTCAAAATACAGTCATTACACAAGAAGCTCTTGGAAAACCAGGACAGAAGTGATTCACTCAAAATGAATATTTCAGAATTTCAGTGCACTTTTTGTAAAATATGTGTTGAAGTCACAGTGGAAAGCAAATGGGGAAACTTGGATAATCAGCAGGAGACTTCGTGTTCATGATCCTATTTTACCTGTTTTCTCTATTGGGTTTTTACATGAGATTTTGTTTAATGAAAGGACTGTGGCTTATAGTTTCTAAAAAGAAAAATGGTTGATTTAGTCTCTCTTTTGATTGTAAGGAAATTGAGATTTGTTTAAATGAAGACAGATTGTTTTTTCTTTTTTGGAGCTTAAGTCTTCTGACTGCTAACCCAGTAGTATTTAAGATATGCAGTATTGTTTTTTTCCCAGTAAATATTTCATCTCTGTGCCACTGTGCCAAATAACCTACTCCGATAGAATGTGAAAATCTTGGAACTCTTGGATAGTTATATTTGAGGGATTGAATTTAACACCAGCATTATGAATAAAGATTGTATCATGGGAACTTGATGAGAAATTGTCATCATTTGGAAGCTAAGGCCGGTTGCCAGGAGGGAACTGAAGATTGCCTCGGTGGAGTTATTTTAGCTCAGTGACTAAGGAATAAAATTTAGCAGAATGTGTTTATTGCCAGTGACCTGGGTCTTCCCAAAATATCCAGTTAGCAACCAACAACTTCCTTTTCTTGATCACCGGTTCTTTCTTATCCTTTGCAAAGAGGAAGGAACGCAAATCCTGTGGTGGTATTTTTCTGTTTTGTTAATTTTTTGTCAACAGAATGCATGATTACGGGAAAATGTCTTTCCTTTGTTTTTTCCTTTAAGATATATACTCTTCAGTAGTTATCCAGTTACACAGGACTGGTCAAAAATTCAAACTAATTATTTTTATCAAAATCCTTACCACATATTACATGCTGCATTTCTGTTTTATTATTATTTTCATTATATATTAAAATGCCTGTTTTAGCAAACTACATATATCTAAATAAAATCTTGTTAATTAAGAAGATTAGAAAAATTTACCTCAACCAGAAGAGCCATACTCAAAAAAAGACCTTGCACACCTTCCCTTATACTTTAAATCAAGCCTGGATTACTTCTGATACCTAATACAATGTAAATGCCATGTAGACAGTTGTTAAGACTGTATTGTTTGGGGAATAATGACAAGAAAAAGCCTGCCCGTATTCAGTACACACACAAACATTATAAGGCTCATGATTACATAGTACAAATTTTTCTCCCTGCGGTTGGTTGAATCTGTGGGTGGGGAACCACATCCTACTGGGTGAGGAGGTTAAGTAGGACCTGCTGTATTTTACTTTATATGCTTCTGTTAAAAGATTATCTTTTAAGATTCTTCACGTGAAAAAAATCTGCTTCTTCGCCTAGTATATCAGGGAAGAAAGCTTTTTGTAATAGGGGCTCCATAACTTTGTAGGCCTTGGTATTTTAAAAATATCTTAGCAGTAATCCTAATGGTACTTTCAGGGGTTCTCTTCATATGAGGTTTATTAAAATTCTCTTCTCTGTCCTATAGCTCATATTAAAATTCAATTATTCTGTTTTCTTCACAGAACATCCAGAAGATTCTTGGCCTTGCCCCTTCACGAGCTGCCACCAAGCAGGCAGGTGGATTTCTTGGCCCTCCACCTCCTTCTGGGAAGTTCTCTTGAAGTCAAAAACAACCCGATAACTCCTGTCATTCTTTTTTAGACATTCATATCAGACTGGAAACTGTTTTGTAGCAAGAGCCATAAGCAGCCTTAGCAGGCTGCTTTTTATTTTTGAGTTATTTCTAGACTTTTTTGATATGATTCAAATGAGAATGACACACAACAAATATGATAGTACTTTTGGTCACAGATTTAAAAAAAAAAACTGTTGATGAGATAAATTCAAGTAGTGTTTTATAATGAGAAGCAAATAGCATCTGTCTTGTGTTGCTTACACCAGTATTTCCTGTGAGACTGAGTTTAGGTTGTTCTGTGTGCCATGTGATGGGAGTTGGCTAGCCAGGAGCATTTGGAGAGCAGGAAGAAAAGTTCAGTTTGTGTAAGTCTTAATTGGAACTATTCTTTGTGTGTGTACTTTAAGCCAAGTATATGACCTGAGCTCAGTAGAGGCCAAAATTTTAGCAATTGCATCTACAAGGAGAGATCTATTTTGTTTGCCATATTTCTATCTAAAACATGCTTTTGGTAATCTGAACATAAAGGTGGTAAACATCAGCAGTGTTAGAATAAAATAAAGAGTTGAAGTAACAGTTTTTAATGTATTATTTTATCATACCACCTCCTGTGCACAATATGGAGTTGGCCTATTGTAGGAATTAGAAAGTGTGAGTGGAAAGTAATAACTCATGGGAGTACAAGAATGAGGGTCTCAGCAGTTCCCTTTACACTCTGACACAAGCTATGGGATTGTTGCAAAGGCAACGAGTCTCACCATGGAGGTGAGGTGAAGCTGAGGCAGGGCGAATCTTGTAGAGCTTCCCCTCAGTCATATTGGCCTTTGGTTCTTGCCACACTCTTGTAAAGGGTGAAAAAATGCTTGCACAATGATCTTCCCCCGAACTCATGGAATCAGAGTGATAACTCCAGCAATAAGTATGCACACTTATCAGTTGTTTCCTCAAGTACATGTATTGTATCAGTCAGAGCAGATTCATTGTTTGTGAGGTAACAACCATTAAACTGACAGCAAACTTCCCCATGACATGAAGACATGGGGTAATATATTCAAAGCTAAGGAAAAGATTAAAACTAGAATTTTATGCACATCTGAACCATAAGATGAGGGGGGCAGCATTTTCAGAACAACAAAATCCAAGTTAAATTGATTATTGTAAAAGAATGTATCCAGTGACAAAGTAGTTTGCCAGAGTATATGAGTTCTAAACTGGGACAATGTTTTGTTTCCTCAAGTCAAATGAGTGGGGAGACCCAGTAGGAGGACAGTAAACACAGATGAAATGGAGCAGGAATCTACATCAAGGTTACTTTTCTCAGATGGGATGCCTGATAATGCCTGGTAATGACCTCTAATGGTCTTTTCTCCATGTAATTAACTATTCCTGGCAAATAATAATTAAAAGCTATAATGAAGAAAATGATCATGATTATAAAGATGACCAAAATGATAGATTATTCCCTCCCCCCCCACCAAAAAGAAACACACATTCAGAGTTTTGCCATCGCCTTTGCAGAATGAGAATGTATATACTCTACCACCCACCCCTGTGGGCTTTGCAGCTAGTGCTGTCAGATTTCCTGTGGATGAGGTTTTCATAATGTTTATATCTTTTTTTTTCTTTATTGAAGTGACATTGGTTGACAACTATATGTGATTTAGGGAATAGGTGCACACCTATTAAGTTTATTTCAGTGAAAGTGGGTGATTAAGAGGGAGAAGGAAGAGGAAAGAGAACATCCAATTACCCTATTCTTGAAGGGTACAATAGCAAGGATATATTACAGGTAAAGTAACTATCAAATAGGAATTTAAATTTCAGATTCCAGGAGACTAAGGGCTACTATGACCATGCAATTATTTTTTTAAATTACTAGCCCTGAAAATCTTCTAGACTAATCATAAGGATGACAATATAAGGATGACACTAGATCTAGATCGTGACTGGAACATGGGAGATGAAATCTCAAGCCAGAGAAGGCTATGAACATCACTCTATAAATAACACAAGATTTAGCTACTTTGCCTATGGAGAGAATAAATTGTTTCCAGGAATTAGAAAAATATCTTTTTACTGGGAAATGGTGTCTTGAGTTATCAATGGTTATTAATACCGTGGGCACTTAATATATGCTAAAGGAGTCAATTCTGTGAAAATGCAGGTACACTGGATGGATGAATAGAAAGCTTTCCCAAGCCCTAGCCAATTTGGAGTTGGAGAGTAGTCATGGGTTCTCCTATCTTCTAACCATGTTGTGTTCATTTTAAGTCACCCTGTTGAGTAGGGTCAAGGACCATTTTGCCATAAGCTAGTGTATAGGAGGGGTTTTTCAAAATTTATCTAAGGACTGCCCTTCCATAAAAGTAAAAAGTGTCACATTTTTTTTTCATTCTTTTACAAATTAATTCTATATGAGTTAAGGTCTTTTAATTCTTGCTTTGAGTTTTAAAATTCAGAATGGAGAAAATTCTCAAAATAAAAATATTAAAAAGTATAAAGCTATCCAGATACCTATTATTCAACTTCACCAATTATCAACTCAGTCTGTGCCTACCCTGTGCCTGCTTCTTGTCCTCATTATTTTGAAGCAAGTCCTAGGCATCATATACTTTATAATATTTCCGGGTTTTATGTCATACAATCTCAAATCTATTTTCACCCTCCCCATCTACAATTCCTGATATTAGAAATAGTTATAGGTATCAAGAGTCGTTACAGTTTCTTTTAAAATTTGTCAGGTGTTTATATCTTTATACCTCAGGGGCTTCATTTTCACTCCATATATGCATGTTTCACTTACCTGCCACCAAACTCCGGTACCAGTGCCCCAAACATGCTCTCCTTTCCTCCCTCCCGTGTTCCCCTGAGTAACTAGTGTGTGTATTTTCCGAGTCCTGATCCAAATAAGATAATCATATTACAATTGATGAATAAGCACTGTAAGTACCTTCTGATATTTTGTTGTATATTCTCAAACAAGAGTGCATCAGAATCACCTAGAAGGCTTGTTAAGACATGAACTGCTGGAGTTTCTGATTCTAAATCGGATGGATCTTGAGAATTTGCTGCTGGTTTCAATCTACTCACTTCCTGGTTCTCCACCACTGCTTTTTTTCCCCCCTCACAATTTATACAGAATTTCCTTCAATTTGTATTTTGCTAAACGCATGCCTGTTTTATTTTTTTATTTTATTTTGTATATACTTTTACATCATTCTTTTTGGACACTGCTTTCTCCTCTTAGGTGTTGTAAAATGTAAAATGCCCACACCAATTCCCCCATGCTCCATCACCACTGTCCCTCCTTATGCTCTCCCTGCGCCTGTTTTGATCCCTCTCCCTTCCCATCCCCTGCAGAATGCCTCTGATTTATAGTTGCCTGTTAATTTTGTTTTTTTAATCATATCCCTGTCATATATAGTCTCAGTGTAATGTTAGCAGCTTTTGATCATTAATTAGGGTTTGAAAAATGATACTCTAGTTCTAGTATCCCTTCACTTAATAGATAACATACTTTTATAGACAACTTCCCTTTGTCTGTTGTTTGGTTACCCAGTGGTAAATGCTTGGTTCTCTCATTTTCAACACTGTGTGGTTTACTACTGTCACCCAAAGCCGAGCAGTTGTATATGTATGCGAATATCAACTCATAAATTTAAACGTACTTGTTTGACCTCAGTCCACTGAAATTATAAATCTTGTACATATCCAAATTGTCCCACTTTTGGCCATGAAAGGCTCTTCATATTGGCTCCTGGGTCCATCTGATATGACCCCAGGCAGCATCCTAGGTCCTAGATGTTCTAGGACTATGTCACATTTCCTGTCTGACTGGAAAACAACACTTTGTTTTTTTTTTTTTTACACTGGGAAATGGTGTTTGGACTAAGATGGGTAATACATTTTGTTGTTACTATTTTTTTTTAAGGTTTATTTATGCATACAGAACTGGGGAACAGGCCAGAGGTGCAGGGGCAGTGAAAGGATTCACCAGAGACAATGGGGAGCAGAACAGGCAGACTGACACACACTGCTGAGGGGAGCAGCAGGAGAGACAGGAGAGGTCTGCTGTACCATGTGGGTCACCTCTGGGGCAGGGGATTAAACTCACTGAAGTGGCTGCAGCTAGCTTGCAGTGCTGTGTCCTAACCTGTCACGCTACCAGGGAGGGTCCTGTTACTATTGTTTTAAGACAGAATACATCATGAATTTGTACTTATACTCGTCTCCCCTGAAATTCAGGGGTACAGAGTTTTTACTTAATTTCTTTGATCAGTTGCGTTTACACTAAAACTTCCAGTTTTCAGTACCAGAAATAACAAGTAGTATATCACATCTTTACTCAACAGCATAATCTACCTCAACATCTACCCCCAAATCTCAGAATGTCCATGCCAATGTTACTGCCAACAATATGATTACTTAAAATAGTTAAGTTGGTTTGGGGGTTGGAGGGGGGTGGTTAAGGAAGAATTCTTTCAGATACACCTCATTCTGGGTTCACAGCCAAATAACAGATTCAGGTTACCTAGAGTGGTTTCTTCTAGAGTGTATATCACCAACTAAATATATATTTACATTTATTTTACTTTATTTTTTAACTTGGGGGGCCTGCTCATTAGTTTTGACTTACAATAAAAATGACTTATGTTCCAGGCCAGCCCACAAAAGCATATTTAGCTTATATAAAGGTAGGCATTTAACTACCTATTATCACGCTTCTTTTATAGATGTAACCCTATTCATGAGTCCTGAAGTGGGAAGATGGGCAGGTACAGAGTATTTAAAAAAAAAATATTTATGCATACAGAACTGGGGTATAGGCCAGAGGTGCAGAGGCAGTGAGAGGATTCACCAGAGTCAGAATGGGGAGCAGAGCAGGTTGACTGATGAAGTACACTGCTGAGGGAGCAGTGGGCTGCCAGTCAGGAGAGGGCTACAGTGGCTGCGGATGGCTTCATGGTGCTGAGACTTAACCCCTTACCCCACCAGGAAGGCCCAAAAGTTTTGTTTTAAACCAACAGTGGAGATGGCAGGAACGTCATCTGCAGTGACACTGCTCCCTTACTCTTCCTCATTTGTTGTATAAAGTGAGGAGAACCAGTGGGAGGAGGATACCATGTGCGGTCATCACCACTAAATCATTTGTGTTCTCATCACTATCCCCTTAATTGTCCTGCAACTGCCTCCCAAGTAGTTGCTGT